TGTTTTTTTTTTTTTTTTTTTTTTTTTTTTTTTTTTTTATTCTCTATGCCACTTCTTTTTAGCCTCTCCTCCCTCTGGTCTTTCTTTTTTAATTTAAAATAACCTCCAGACACGTTCCAGAGTACTGATTTTGTTTTCTCTTTCCTGAATCCATCTGATTCATTGAACTCGAATGGTTTCATGACTGGGGATTCAGCTCAGCTCAGCTCTCCCTCCCATCCGCATCGCATTCGACTATTTGTTTGGGCACTCTCTCTCTCGTATTATTTATCTATCCATCTATCTATATATTTCCCTCCTCCTCGTCATTCTTCTTTCCCCGGATTCGTCCTGACACAAACAAACATCGGCTTTCCCTTTTGGGAGTAATTCAAGTCGTACATTTTTGTTGGCCGTCATAATTTATCATATATAGGTCCCTGTTGCACACATACCCAACCCCCGTCATCCCGCATTCTTCGTCCCTTTCTTCTGTTTCCGGCGCAAAGGATCCTCGTCGATCTTCTCCCCTTGCTGTTTATCCTGCCTCTTTTGTATACATCTTGTGGGGGCTTGTGTTTGTTTTCCAGAAACATACTCTGCTTATCCGTATATACCTATACCCCGTATATACCTCTGGCCTCTATCATCCTCTCTTGTTGCTCGCAATCCTTGGATACCTATCCTGGTATATTAGGGCACGTTTGCTGATCAACAAACATTCTCATCGCCTGCTCATCCCATCATTCACCCGCTGGCTCTCGCTGGAGCCATTGATTATCAATACCGTCGCTTTTCTTCGTTCTTCTTGCCACACAGCATCCAATCATGGCATCCGAAAAGCCGGAGGACGGTCACCGGTCCGAGAAGGAAGGTCCTGCAGCCACCTCTGATCCCGAGATCGGCCATAATAGCACCATCGTCGGTAAGCCGTGGATGTACAAGCCGTTGAAACTTGGGCCCTTGACCTTGCCGTGGTTTGCTTCGCCCGAGATCCAGTTGATCCTGGTCTCGTTTGTTTGCTTCCTGTGCCCCGGTATGTTCAATGCGGTCAGTGGTCTCGGAGGTGGTGGACAGGTCGATCCAACGGACACCAGCAATGCCAATACGGCTCTGTACAGTACCTTCGCTGTTGTCGGGTTCTTCGCAGGTTCCATCGCGAACCGAATTGGTCTTCAGCTGACCCTCTCATTTGGTGGTTTTGGCTATTTCCTCTATGTGGCATCACTTCTCTCCTACAACCACAACCAAAATGCCGGCTTCCTCATTTTCGCCGGTGCCCTGCTGGGTGTTTGTGCCGGTCTATTGTGGTGCGCGCAGGGTGCGGTCATGATGAGTTATCCGCGTGAGAACGAGAAGGGAAAGTTCATCGCAATCTTCTGGGTAATCTTCAATCTTGGTGGAGTTATTGGAAGTTTGGTACGTGCTCATCACAGGCTTGTCTCCAGGAAGGTAGTTTACTGATTCCCATCGCGTACAGATTCCCTTGGGCCAGAATTTGCACTCGGACGCCGGAACGGTCAATGACGGGACTTACATCGCCTTCATGGTTCTCATGGCTCTGGGATTCGTTCTCGCCTGGTTCCTTTCGGACTCCAAGTACGTCGTGCGCAAGGATGGGTCCCGCGTCATCACGATGAAGAACCCTACCTGGAAATCGGAGCTTCTCGGCCTCTATGAGACCCTTCGCACAGACTACTACATCGTCCTGTTCTTTCCCATGTTTTTGGCGAGTAACTGGTTTTACGGATACCACTTCAACAGCGTCAATGGCGCCTATTTCAACATTCGTACTCGATCTCTCAACAGTCTGCTCTATTGGCTTATGCAGATGGTTGGTGCCTTTGTCTTTGGTCAGCTTCTGGACCTGAAATTTCTCTCTCGGCCCATGCGAGCCAAACTCAACTGGCTGCTCCTCCTTCTCATCACTATGGGTGTCTGGGGTGGGGGTTATGCTTTCCAGAAGCAGTATACCCGTGCCACCGCCACACAAGACGTTGACTTTACGTCCCATGGCTACGTTGGTCCCATGTTCCTCTACATGTTCTACGGCTTCTACGACGCTGCTTTCCAGACGTGCGCATACTGGTGAGTCCCCGCAATCGTTTCTTTTGGAGTTTTTGTTGCTCCCATTAGTTTGATAGTTAGTTTGTTTTGAAAACGCTGACAACTTCTAGGTTTATGGGATCCCTCTCCAACAACGGTCGTAAACTAGCCAACTTTGCAGGTTTCTACAAGGGAATTCAATCTGCTGGTGCTGCAGGAATGTGGCGGTAAGTTTTTTGTTGGCATATATCGACTCGCAAGAATATTCTCGCTGACATCTCCGTCTGTGCAGCATGGATGCAGAAAAGACCCCCTTTATGACGGAGTTCGCCTCCTGCTGGGGATTGCTTGTTGGCAGCCTGTTGATTGCTTCTCCCATCATCTTCTTCAAGATCAAGGAGCACGTGGATGTCGAGGAGGACCTCAAGTTTTCCGACGAAACAGCCGAAGATGTGAATGGTATTGCCCTCGAAGATCGCAGAGACTCTACGAAGGGAGAGACAGTCGAGAAACAAGTGTCCTCCGCATAAGTCGCTCTCGCGCGCTTCCTTCGATCCACTTCACATTTACCCGAACATATTGACGCGTCGTGTTGGCGTACTGTATGACAACATGATCCTTCTTCATGTTTGTACTTGACTTTTTTTTTTTGGTTATTATTGCATTACTGCTTTTTTGGTCGAGTGCCGACTCCTCCAGAGCGTTTTGGATATTTGAATGAGGCTACCGGGCATGTATCTATGATGGACGACCACTAATGTTAACCTTAATTGGCCGACGAGGCAAGACCCTGGTACGATTCTTCTTGCCGTCTCTCTTCGGTTGTGAAGACATTGAGTGCTGGTGTGTCGAGCTTGGATTCCTCGTCGGATGTGCATCAGGTTCATACTCTCACATGCATATATATATTCCTGACTAATCAAGTTCGTTCTAAGTTGAGGTGTTCATTCTACGAGTTGGGATAATGATCAAGAGCTCGCGTAGGAGACCTGCTTCGAGTGACTGCGGCGGGCAACCGTGATGAATGTATGGCTCCACGTAGGTCCACACTAGATTTTGGTGCAGCCTTGATCCTAATATGTACAGTTATACAAAGAGGCATGCACAGCACGAGATCAGTAGACACTGGTGCTAGGTGACGCGGTAGGCAAGGGCACGAAAGACTCAGTGTGGGTCGCCTTGGCCGTTCCGTTGGTGCTGTATTCGGGCCAAATCTGGGTAGTGCCCTGGGCAATGTCCCAGCCGAAGAGAGTGCGGTTGAAGAGCTGCAGCGACGCGACAGGCTGGTAGTAAGGAACCTCGTGGCCGGCTTGGTACACGCGAGTGAACGAAAAGTTGCCATACTCGCGGGTCTCACCGTACTCGACGCCATCGACCACCATTGGGGTGTAACCGGAGGCCCGGAACTGCCGAGTATGGGTGTAGTTCACCGCGAGGGAAACGGCCTCGCCACCGAACCAGTTGCAGATGTAGTCGGCGTCACCGTAGATGAGCGACACGCGGACGGGCAGCTTGAGAATTTCCTCCAGGTCTTCGATGAAATTGGGCCAGACGAAGTCGCCGGTCTGCTGGAAGGCGAAGTATACATCGTTGTTCGACTGAGTGTAATTGATGTTCACTCCAATGGCGTTCATCACCGAGTCTTTCTTGAGGTAGTCGACATAGTACCCTTCCGGTGTAGGATCCTGTGCAGCGAATCGGATTCAGTCAGGGCTTTCAGGCTCTTCGGTGCTTCCAGATGATGTTCAATCATAGAGTGCGCTCTGTTCCCACTTACGTTGTACGGGTGTCGGATGTCATATACGCCGCGGCCACCAAATACATAGTATGGTCCCTCTAATCATATGGGTTAGCCGGAAGTCTACATTTTGAAGCAAGTCTGTGAGCCCGAGGTCGATTGATGAACGTACCGACATTGTCTCTGCACATGTTTGTGGCCTCTGTGCAGAGCGCATAATCCGCCAAAGAAGTACGGTTTGTCTCCTTGCATAATGCGACTTGGTCCTGACAGCCATTTGGCATCTCATTTGCGAATTTCATGTAGCTGTACACGGTATCATTGACCTATGAATTAAAAGATGTGAGTAGGTTTGTCCGAGACACAGCCTTGTCTGAAGCAGGGTCAACTCACGGCCTTGATACCGTAGGTATTGTTCACTGCAAACTCCGGGTAGTAGCTTGCCTAAGAAAGAAGTTAGCAAATCCCAATGCCCGCACCCACTATCGAAACTGCAAGCATACCTGAATGGCTTCGTCGATGATACCATTAATGATGCCGAGGGAGTTGAAGTTGAGGTGAATTCCTTCCACTGTACCATTCGCGATTTTCTCATTTTGCTCATGGAAGTGATTGAAGAACTGCAAACATTAGGCCATGTGCCCAAGAAGCGGAATGAGAAACTCACAGCTGGGCCATAGTGTCTTTAAGACGGGTGAGCCTAAGTCAGAAAACGATCTCTAACATAGTGACAGTTGAAAGGCATGACCTACCCTCCGTAACTTTCAGTCCACAGACTGAAATCCTTAGACTTGATCTTGTGGTCCAACTGCGGTAGACCACCCATGAAGCCTTGAAGAATTTCCCAAGCGGCGTGAGCGGCAAGCTCAGTAGTGTCTGTCAGAACATATTGTTAAGAGACCTGGCTGAGTAGTATCTGAAACGGGATCAGGGTTGAGAAAATTACCAATTAGGGTAGCGTTAATGACTGGGTATCGGCCCTGGATGCCGGCGACAGATGCATTCTCAAAAACACCAGTGACGGGATTCAGCGAGCCGGCTTCTGCCTCGCTGTAGGAAAATCCTGTATTGCGGTATCGTGAGTCGTGGGCTTGGATCATTCAAGAGCGGCTGTGGTCTGATGCATACCGACGCCCAGAGGCTGAGACAGGAACAGCATATTCGAGACTTCATTCCACGAGTAAGGATTGATAATGGAGTCGATTGTGGAATTGATCTTGCAAGGACCCAATTCTAATTTAATCGGCAATCAGATATCAAAAAACGATCTAGATTCAGAAAATGGGTGCGCAAACCTTCGAACAGGCCTATCAAAGAATCACTTCCAGGACCACCGTTCAGCCAGAGAGTAATGGGGGCATTTTTGGGGTCGTGGCGTGCTTCGAAGAACCAGAAGAAAGTGTGAGAATCTGGCGAGAGGTCAACGTAGCCAGAATATGACTTGACTCCAGGTGTGGTCTCGCAAATGCCCTGCTTTCCAGGTTCCTTATAGCGAATGGTGACATTGTTGGCAGTGTGGATAGTCTTCACTCCAGTAGGGTTTTGGGGTAACTGTCGTCTATCAACAGTCGCCGGCTGGGGTGTTGCTGGTACCCAAATGGCCGCAGCCACGGGCAACAAGGAAATCAAGCCGTATCCACGCATTTTCGGGGCCCTTGAGGGTAGTAGCTGCGAGAAAAATGCTAGCATGCGCCAACCTCAATCCCTAGGCCAAAAAAGAAAAGCTCCCTTTCACTTGCAACTCAAGGAGACAGTGGTGAAACCAGGGTTCTCGCTGGCTTTAATATGAGAGAGACCTTGAGCTCGATCATGGCTCAAAGTGTGAGGGGAAACTATCTGCATTGCGGGGGTCTCGGATCCTTGTAGAATTAGGTTGATAATGAGGTTGCATCGATGATACCTGGATCCTGGAAGATCCAACCAGCGACGAAGCAGATAGACAGAGCAAGCGGCTTATCGACAATGTCTCGCAATTTAGGTGCTGATAGGTCTTGATGTGAACGAAGCACTTCCAAGAACACACCATATTCTCCAAGCCGAGCATCACATATGGCGCAATTTTAGTGTCTCCACCAATGGTGCATGCGAAGCAAGCCAATCATTGTGGATCAGTCAACAAGTCTCATCCTCCGGACATAATCAATGAGGATCGACAGCTGTTGACAAGTGTGATGAGGACGTGTCTCATGGCTGTAAGAAGACCTTGGAGCACAATTCCAGCTTCAGAAATGGAATGTCGAGAAGCGGCTCAGGCAAAGCAAGTACACATTCTGGGTCCTGTCCTTGATAAGATTCAACGAGCGTCGATGGCAGAGCAGAACAGAAAGACTCCAGAGACTAGGTAGCCCCTCCGCAGCAGGTGGAAGATCGACAACTTCCCATACTATCAACACGACCTGCCAAAAGAGGAATAGCGTAGCAGAACATCACGGGCGACCGACGGATAACATTATTATTATGGATCCTGTTTAGCCTCAAGGCAAGTAGATATGCTATTCTCCATTACAAAAAATGGTTCTTTTTCTGTGGCTCCATGAAAGCGCTCAAATGTCTGGCTGCCATGCTCTACATGCGGGATCGATGAACCAAAGACAACCACAACAAAGCACTACTGCGTAGAGCCTTGACTTGTCTTGTCATGGCCTCACCGCTGCTTGGCCTTGGTCTAGATAGTCGGTCAGCCTCCGGGACCAGTTCGGAGGCCAAGAAGGCACCAAGAGGGTCGTCAGCGATGTAAGCCTCAATCTCACTGCGCTTTGAAGCACCAGAAAGGCAGGAACCCGAGTCATAGTCTTTGCTATTTGATGCTGTCCGACATCAAGGAAATGATGCTATTTGGCCAAGGTAAGTCATTGCCGAAAGAAGAAGAAGAAGGTCAGAGACAAAGAGAGCGCGTCGTAATACAAGTTCATTGCTATTTTCCTTGTCATGCTTTTAATACCCTCTTGTAGTCAAACAGTCGCCAATGCAACACCAACGCAAGACGTGTGAATATATATACCCAAAACTGTTCATGTCCCCCAAGTCCCATTATACATAAACCCCGTCAAGGAAAATCATATCTCGAGGCATACAGAAAGTGAAAGGAACAAAAGAAAAGGAAAAGGTACGCTCCAAATTCATAGTCGAACAACGTTCAGCATTCGACGGAGTCCCCGATTGTAAAGCATTCACATCAGCCACTTAGGCTCATACCAAGGTCGGCGTCGAGATGAGCTGTCAGACCGTTCGAATCTGAGGGTGCTGTCTCGGTATTGCTGTGCCCCATGGTCGCGACGACGCGGTCGCTGTGAAGCTGACCGTCACCCAGGCTGGCCATATCAGCCTTGTTTCCGGGATCAAAGCCCATCAAGCCAGGCATGCCATTCATTGGATCCACGGTAAATCCAAACCCCTTGCTGTTGGGACCGGATCCGTTAAGATTCATATGATCGTCGGCCGTGAAGAAGTCGGCACCGGCATCATCAAAATTGATGAGAGCATCAAAATCATTCTGGGTCACCTCGGCGTCATTAGCCAAGTCCATCAGCTCGCTAATACTCAGCTCCGAGTCCAAATTTGGGATGCTGAAGGCATCTCGGTGATAGTTCCGGTTGATGTTGGCGGTACTGCCGTTTTCACTGCCATCCGAGGGGGGAGGAGTAGAGGCGAACAATGTCTCGCCTTCTTCGACGGCGTGGCGAGCAGTTCCAACACCCGCGGGCTTTGGGTAAGTCAGATCGGGAATCTTCTGGGCAAGAGAATCCGGAGGGGGTGTCAATGTATTGACCCGTGCGCCCGCATCAAAAGCGCTGCTGGAACGAGCTTGCACGTCCTGGGGAGCCACTGTGAGCTGAATACCAGCCTTTCGAATTGCAGCTTCCAAGAACGATGTCGCGAAGTCAGCTGATGCATAGATCTCTCGCAAACGTTGTAGAATGCGCATGCACTGGTAGAATCGCTGGAGGCTGGTCATCCGCACGCTGGGGTCGCTCGACTTGATATCGAGGAGGTGGATGATGACGGCGGGCAGAAGTACGGTGACGCCGGTAGTAGGAAAATATCTCGTCAAATCCAAGCTGTGCAAGTCCTGCGCAATATTCGTGATTTCAACTGCGGCGAATCGAACCTTGTTCCTCGAGATCTCCTGCAGCTCTGCATCCATTGACGGGAAGGGACTAGCAGGAAGGACCTGAGGACGATGCAACGCGCTTGATGTAGTCAGATAGACCATTTTGAGGAGAGCGCGATGAGAGTGCAAGACTTCCTGGGCTTCTGTCAACTTCGCGGGTGCAGCCGGAGCGTACTGGATTTCCGTAGGAAGATTGGCCAGCCAATCTTCCAACTCCTGATCGCAACGCCGAACCTCGAACGTTTCTGCTGCCGATTTCTTGGGGACCAACATCATAGTCGTCTCCATCGTCCCGCCAAACTTGTGACTGAGAACAGAATACTGAGCCGACAGGACATGACTGACGCACAGGCAAAGCTTCGCCTTCTCGATGAACATGAGGGCCAGCTCTTTCTGATGTTCAACATTTTGCAGAACCTCTGAGTTCCCCACCATGCTCACGATTTCCGGCGAAAATGGATGGAATTCGAAGTCGTCGAGCGTCAACATTGGAACATCACAGTCGTCGTCTTTGACACGCATAGGGCGCCTCATGCCTAGGGCAATCAAGCGATCGCGAGTATAGGTGCTCCACCAGATACGTTTCCACATTCGCTGCCGCCGGGCGTCCATGCGAGAATTCCCAGGGTCCCGATGCAGGCCGATGGTATGCGCCAAGGACAAGCTGACGCCCATCCAGTGCCAAGTGTCTTTCTGGTCATCGGGGGTCTCGTACCAGTAAGTCATCAGCAGCAGGGATTGGACGAGCGAAATCCGATCGACTTCATAATCGAAGTCATACAGAAGTCGGGCTCGTTGGAAGAAGACCTTTCGGGCAGCCTTTCTCGAGGGATAACCAGCAGCATGAAGGTGCTTTAGGTCGATAAAAGCCGTGCCAGCAAACATGACTGCCTGGAACAGCAGAAGACTCATCCGATGAATACCATCATTCTGCACGATAGTCTGTAAGAACTCCTCCAAATCCAATAAAGGCATGTACGTGTGCACATAGTGGATGTAAGCCTTGAGCAGTTCGTTCCTCAACCCAACGTCGGGTACTGTTAATGCTCCTTTCATGGACAGGTATTCGATATCTTCTTTCTGCAATCGGGATGGTAAGCCTCTGATGTAGTCCGGCAGAAGTACACCGCCGGATCGCGCGTTGGAAAAGGAAGGATCCAATAGCTGCTGAATCTGTGACGTGACATGGTGAAGAGGAAGAGTGGCCGGAACTGCAGGATTAGGGGCCATTCGCCTGCGAAAGTGGTTCCCTCCCCCGATTCTGCTGGCCTGACTCTGATCTGTGGACAATGCCATGTATCAGTACAGGGATTACTGCTTGCAAAAAAACAATGGCGGAAATACGAACACAGTAGGTGCGGCATATGCTGCCCTTGATCCAAGTCGATGGACTGCTGAGATGGTGATTCAGGAGCAATGTCCGCATTCAACCCGTGAGACTCGCTGAGTCTCCTGAGAAAGCTTCCTGCGTCCTCAAGGCCCTCTGCGGGCGACTGAGAAGGCTGGCGGGTGGCATTTTCAACCTCGACACGTGATTTCCTGAAGAGTGACGGCGAAGCGCACTCGACGTTAGCCACGAATACTGCAGCGCATCGACATATGTAAAACGAACTTTCTCCTCTTGCTCTCTGTGACAACACATTCTACCTGGTCCAGCCGGCAATTCGTACATGGTGAACCGTTCTCCACCACATCACACCGGACTTTCCTTGCACGGCAGCAACAGCATGCTTTCGAAGCCCGCCGCTTGACCGGGCGAGAATTAGCAGAGAGCCCAGCCGTCGAGGCTTTACGTTTACCCTGGGATTCGGTCTCCATTGTATTTGCGGATGTGGGCGTCGATGACGATACAGCGAGATTACCAGAGGTAGTCATTGTGGAAACCAGGCGAACCGATGAATCTTGGGATCCAATATGATATGATATCAACTATTTGTGGCGGGTATAAATCACAAGAGAGTCTTTCTCTAATTTGCTGAAGAGGGAAGATGTATAGTCGAAAGGATGAAGGAGGTATAGATAGAAGTCGTCGCCAACAAGGGGATGAGAGAAAGGAAGAACGAAGTAGATGGTTAATGGAGCACAGGAGTGAGAGTGGAGAGTGCCTATTTTTTTTAGAATATGATATGATTGAGGATTATACTCTCAAAAGAGGAAGATTTTCATAGTCCATCATTTCGTCCAAAGGACGAAAAGTCAAGCGATAGCTGGGGCCCGGGGAGAGAGAATGTTTAAATAGTAGTAGCAAGGTAACAATAACGATCGATCCTATGGATATCCAATGACTAACAACGATTTACTCCATACTTGTTAGAAAAACCCAAATAATAATAAAATAATACCTAATAAAAATGGTTGTAAAGTCAGGAGGCCCTGTGAGTGTTGGGAACTTGGGAACTTGGGATGATGAGCCCCCCGGATCCACTCGCCGTCAGTGTTGCCTCCCCCAGACAAGAACCACCGTCAATCCAGAAGAGTTTCAAACTTTCAATTATTATCTAATTCGGACTAACTACTCCGTACCTTTGGGATCTGATTTACTGATTCACAATTGGATAAGCTGGACCAAACTCGGTTGCGCTAAGAGCCCAAGGTACCTGTAACCTGTAGACTTGGAGACTGGAATTGAGGGTATTTTATCCCAGTACCAAACGGGATTAGGGTGGGCCAAGTTCGGCGGGGGGTCGAGCGACCGGGGGATGGGATGGTTTATTCAGCCAGTCATAGGTACCTTATTTACTACTCCGTAGATGCCATATCCTTCAGAGGCAATGCATTCTGGATGAGCGTCGTTGAAGCCAACAGTATCCGCTTTCGCTAAGGTACTTACTTATCTTGGAGTCAGGAATCGAAGCCGATAATGAGATTTTCCAAATTCTCAGGTTCATGGGGAAGCAACCAGGGGGAAAATGGAGGAGAAGAAGCCGTTTCCATACCCGGTTTCTCCCTACTCCACTTCCGTCTTTTCCTGAGCCACACTGGCAACTGCAGTACCCAACCATCATTATTGTTTCCCATGCCGGAGTCGTGTCCTCGGCCCGGTCACGTTACTTGGCCTGGCCGCCACATGCAGTCACGGGGATTTCGAGAGTTAGAGGGGGTGAGCGAATCAATGCAGTTGTCATTGGTCATTCAGAGGCCAGTTTGGGTAAGGTCTGGCTGTTGAAGTGGAGCCCATCGTAGTGGGACTGGTGGGCAGCTGCGTCACAATCTCGGAATTTTTTCCGTTTCTTTCTTTTTCTCCTTTTTCTTTTTTTTTTTTTAAAAAAAAAATCTCAGTATTAATCAATTCTTTAACCAATGACCAATCTCTTGCTTTGCCTCTATTAATTGCGGACCATCTTACTGCTTTGGAGCGTATGCCGCTTCGAGAAAGTCAGAATACCTTTTTTGTGCCAGCGTTAAAACCTTCAACCCGATCACAACAAAATACTTCCAATCTTCTAAGTTCTAGTCCGAGTCCACTTTAATAGCATAAGTTGACAGCTGCAAGGAGGCATAAATGGTCTTATGTGCGAGACATATGCATTGTCCAATGTTCGTACATCCATAGCACGCAGAAGAGAATGGAATTCCGTGCTCCGTACTCCGTACCGAGGTCCGCAGCTACTTTGCATATCAACAACTAGGTACACACTTCTGCCCTAGGATGACGATCCAAATAATGATTATGATGATGATGGGCTTGAAGGTTCTGATAATTCTTCGGTCTCGTCTTATACTTAGAACCGTCACACAATTCGCTTCATAAAAATCTATTACAAGGACCCTGAATATCTTGGCCATAATCACATTACTAGGAGTCTGGAACTACCTAAGCCCATGAGGATTTTGGGCAAAGAATTATATGACATGCTAGCACTCATCTTGGAAGCAGCTTCGTGAAGATTGCATGTCAGCTCAATTGCTGGGCCTAGAACTCAATCGATTCCATTGCGATCTCTTACTCTTCTTATATGATCGAGGCGCGCTTCTACAAATCAGTGAACTCTTCAGAAGCTGTCAGGACGAGTTGGAGCCTATCTAGAGACTCGAAGGCTGGAAGCTGTCTCCGTCACATTGTCTCCTCACTCCAGGCCCATGGGGAATCATCCCCACCCCGCCAGTTGCCGAAATTGGGATCGAAGCCGATCATGATCCTGATGGCGGATTGTAGAATAGGTACGGAGTACACGTAGTATCTCATGAGCAATTCCGGTTTAGACCAATTAATACAGCCCCATGGGACTAGGGACCGGGGTCCAGCTTATCTAGTAGCTATCGATCTACTCCGTACTTCGAGTGCCTCGAACTTGCGAAAAGGGGGATACTGCGCAGATTGACGTGTTCTCGATATTCCAAGCGGTATTAGGATTCATCTCTACCCATTATATACGTATCAATCTCTGCGCCGTTATCATTGAACCATTGATCCTGATTCACCTAAAAAACCATCCATGTACTCCATATGCGACGAAATGTTGAATGAGGGATTAATAACAGTGTCATGAGAATTATTGTCTTTACTAAGTGCAGAAACTCCACAAAAGTCTACTTGTGCCATATCTACCACTCTGGATGCTGGAGGACATGGAAGATGGATATGAAGCACAGTGCAGCAGGTGTGTGCATAGGGCCAGAGTCGAGACTCCAGACCCGAGACACCTAACTCAGGATTCCGATAAACGGAGCAAGTGAGAACAAAGCCTTGATGGTGTTGATGTAGAACTCGATTTACACTGTTCGAACGGCGAAATCGAACAGTTCATATCCGTGTCACTCATACAAGATGATGCTGCTCAGTTCAAAGATCAAAAATCCTGGCTGGTTGTTCTCTTCAAGTTCTCTTCAATAGTATCACCAGTTCCATTCTCGGGCCCTTTCCAGTTTCTAACATTTAGCATTAGCTATAACTGCCGATATTCGGAGGGTTTAATTCTTAGTGGTCGAGTAGCTTATGTACAGTGTCGTCATTTCAGACGATCCCTGTTGTTCATCTCTGAGGAGCCAACAATAATTTCGATTGACAGGTGCAATTTAGAGAGGTTGTAAATGCCTCAATGATCAAATAACAGGTATTGGGGATATCCTCGCATGTAGCAGACATTCTTCTTATCATACTGTCTTTCTCTTCACTGAATTCAAAGAAGACAATTCACGCTACCTAGATCATCACGATTCACGAGCCAGAGTTAAGTTGTTATGATTGAACCTAAGAAGAGACTGGGGTTGCGCGGGGAGGAGCCTGAGGCCTGAGGAATGAGGACAAACGGTAAAGACCGACATTTCAGTTGTGGCACCTCACCTTTTGGATCTCACGAGGGAATGTGACCTGACCCAATCAAAATTGAGTCGGCGGATACTTGAGTGGGACTAGACTGGAGACTGCGAGCCAATCAATCTTGATCTCAAAGCAACATAGTTCAAACTAGGTACCTTAGGTACCTTGCAAAACTTCATAGCTCAAGAGTCAAGGCAAGAAAAATTCGTTTCGATCATGATCAGTGATGATATGGAATGGAGATTGTAGGGTAAATCCTTCTCTACTAGGCACCTATTCTCTCAAGCCTATAGATTTGAAGTATTCACGTTTTAGACTGTCCCCCAAAAATACTTCCAGGCTACGTACAATGCTCGCGTGCCATGGGCCATTTCTCAGTGCCGAAACTCGCTCCTCCGTCCCCAACCGTCGCACGGCAAAGGCGGCACAAGGCGGTCCGGCGGGCCAGCTTGAGAGCATTCCCCGGTCTGTTTTCGGTCTCGATCAGATGCAGAGCCCATTCAGAACCACCTTTGACTGGGGAATGGAGATCCGGGGTGACAAGAGTTCGTCTGCATGGTCAACTTGGGTGGACTGATCTCGAATTCCATCCATACAGCCACAGTCTCTGCTGAAAGTCCGGGGTAGACAACGTTCTTCTCTCAGTCCTTCTTTTACTCCTCTGAGAATTCATGACCACTTGCCCTGTGTACTGTACCTAAACCAAGAATGCATCCTGTCAGTGAGTGCCTCTTGTGCATAGACCTTTCTCAATTGAACCAGTTGCATCTCTGACGCACAGATGATCGGCTCGCAGTCTCTCGGTCGAGTCGTCGGAAGATGATTATAGGTGCTCGTCTTACCTTTCACTCGGACGGACGGACGGACGGGACGGTAGAGACTATCTGACGCAGTTCTCACTACTCCGCATGGTAAGATAATGATCCTGAAGCAAGTATTCGAGCTCTGGCCTCTAGCCTAAGTCTACTGTCTCGTCCACGTGGCGCACCTACACCCTCAACAACGAAACAACAAGCCCACAGCCACAAGTATTCGTACTTCGTAGTCCAAATAACCCCGCCAAAGCACCATCGGACATCTTCCCGAACTCAGACGCGGCAATCCGAAGTCGTATGGATCCTTGAATAATCAATAATAATAATAATAATTACTTCAGTAGAACACTTGGCCGGCTTACCCCACGTTTTCCTCTGCTGACTTCGGTGGTAACCCGATGACCAGTTGTCAGGTCGATTCAGGTGGACAGTCGACATACGAGCACTATGATATTAATGATGGCATTTTTTTAATTTCAGAAACCGAACAATGATAATCAATTTGCAGCCCGGTCAACCTGGAACCAGTACCTGATAACAATAATGACTAGACCCATGCAGAGTTGAAACGCAAGTTGCACTATCAATATGGTATCCCCCACTTGGATCACTTGAAGCTCGGATGCTGAGGGGAAGCAAGGGTAAGCTACCCTCTACTGAAGGGGTGTCTTACAGTAACAGACAGATGATCTCTAATGGTAATAGTATTTGCCAGACAGGATACTAAGAACGAGCCATGTTCTGACTTTAGTCAAGCTATACTTTGATTGAGTCCCTACAACCTGATAGTGCTGCTATTGAGACTGTTCGACTCAAAGCATCTCTATGCATGGCATGTAGCTGCTCGAGAATTTCACCTGCATGTCAGGATATCAGCGTAGCCCTCAAATTATGTCAAGGGAGGATATAACAATGCCCAGTTAGGATATATGTGCTATATATATACATGTTTACATGCTATACTCACTGATAACGGGAGCATGCCACCATAGCCAACCGTAATTATATTTTCATTGATGCTACGGGCCAGCAGCATGGATTCAACCAATGATACATCCCATGACTCCAGTATGCATGAGCACGAATAAATAAACCTATTCTAGCTTCTGTTCTGGAGCGGATCAGACACTGACTCCAGCAAGGCCAGAGCTCTCACAGACTTCGAAATGTTGAAGGGATCATGGTAATTCATTCATTCGTAACGCAGGTTAAACTCCTCGAACCCATACAACACCCAACAGGATATCTCTGAAAGGGCAATTCTCATAACTTCAAGAAAGCAAAAGAAAACATCTGGACTGTACGTTGCTCGTGGGGAATACCAGAGAACAAACAAGACAGGCAACACTACCAAGGGAAAGGAGGAAAATAAAGCTCATGATTGGGCAGAAAACACAGCATCAAAACCACGACTTGCTTCTAGACACCACCACGCCCCATGCGTTCTATGGAACCCAGAATACCGCCTACACCGCGACCCGGAGTAAAGACGGCAATGCCTGACTTGCCTCCGCTATTGCCTCTGATATGCCGGCCCGCTGGTGCGCCAATCTTAGGGATCCTCTTCTCCCCGTTCCCAGACCCTGTGCTAGCAGGCCGGATTCCACTAGAGCCACTGCGGCTGATACTTCTTCTGAACTCTTCGGTTGACTCTGCCGTGGCAGGCTCCGGCTCTGGCGTTTCATACTCCGCACTCATGATGGGAGACTCGGGGGCGCCAGATGGCTGTGACACGTTCTGCTGAATTGCCAGCCATTCATCCACAGCGGCGACGAGCTCTCCCTTCTCTGCTCTCTCTACCTTCAACTCGGCATGCAACCGTTCGTTGTCCTGCTTGAGGGTTGCCATCTCTTGCTGCAGACCCTTAATTTGTGCCTCCAAAACGCGTTTCTCCGCCTCGTGCTCGTCATTCTGATGGGCAAGAATGCTAGCATCAGGGCGGGAAGCCTCCGACAAGGCAGCATCGCGCTCGTTTTGCAGCCGCTCATTCTCCTCGCTGACGGCTTTGCATTTGTTCTCGGCTTCCCGCACGCGCTTCTCCCAGCGGGCTTCGTAGCTCTTCTTCAAAGCAGCAACCTTGGTCTCGTGTTTGCTCTTGTACAAGGTGTGAAGCTCACGTGCAACTTTTTCGACTGCATCTTGGACTTCCCTTGCGGTCTCCTCGGCGGTCGTCGTGCATTGGGCACTCCCGTGGTCGCCAGTCTCATTAGGAGCTGACTTACGCGCAGCCGATAGCTGACTCTCCAACTCGACCATGCGTCTTTCCAGCTGTTCTCGGCTTTTCTCCGCCTCTTCCACCTTCTTCATAAGCCGCTCTTTTTCCCGCTCACCCTCAACAATATCTGCCCTGACAGTTCGCAAGACGTTTTCCATCTCTTGACCGCGTCGCTGCCATTCGGCTTGCTCAAGTTCCAGAGCCTCTTTCCGCGCAGCTTCGTTACGGACTTCCTCTAGAGCTTCTCCAACCCGCCGTTCAGCATCCGCAACAGCATGCTTCAGGCTGGCAACTTCCGCCTCTTTCCCGCTCAGAGTCGCCTTGAGTGAGGATATTTCAGAAAGGAACCCAGATTTCAATGATTCCAACTCCCGAGGCGTGACGGTGGGTATAGACCTAGGCGTCGGAATCGCAGGAATGTCAAAGTCGAGCAGCGAGACCTTTGAAGGGGACCGAATGGATTCTCGAAGAGTCCTCAACGGCGAACGTCGCGAAGGGGAATATCGCTCCTTCTGTACACTATAGCGTTGACGTGGAAAGAAGTTTGTCTGATCCGTCAGGTCAAGCAAGTTTGGCGTTTCGCTTACGTTTCCCGTATCCCTATATTCTCGCCTCTTAGGAGTGGGCGAAGCGATGGGTGTGCCGATGTCGATGAGTACGGATCGCCTTTGTGATCTCCTGGAAGTCTCAGGGGTAGCTGGTGCAGGGCTTCGGGATTGATTTTCATCCGTTCTTCCCGGGCTGCTGGGTAATAGTCGAGTGGCCTTGCATGGTGAGTCCCCTCGCAGTTTCGCGAAAGATGTCATGTCTGCGTTAGGAACGGCGGAGAAAGTACTGAAACATGTGTCATCCATCGGATCATGAGAGTCGTCATTCATAACATCATCTGCAGCCTTCATTTCCAAGTTCTCCTTTTCAGAGAAAGTATCATCGTAGTCATTATGTTCGTCAAGGACAGTGCTCATTCCCTCATTGCGTTTTTCCTCCACCATGCTATGGGCAATTTCGTTTCCGGTGCCTCCTGCAATCTCTCTTTCATGCATTTGGGGCTCCTCGTCGTCATAGACTTGAATATTCGGTATGTCCCGTCGGCTCATCCCCTTTTTGCTTCTATCATCTAATCCTTCCGTCGCATCCTGGTCTTCTGGACAATGACTGTAGGAGCGCTTTCTGGCAGTCATGGAGCGCTCGCTCTGCCCACCTGAGACCTGTCGGTTACCGAGCATCCGAAAGTCAACTGTATCGTCTCGGCCGCCGTACTGAAACGGCGAGCTGGGGAGTTCTTCGACAGACTCAGGATCTTCGACATCAAGAATGGGATCCTGCGAGTGGTACATATCTGAATAGCGCCCGCTGTGGGGGGTATTTGTGTTCGCGCCGCCGTCAATCGTTTTCTTCGGACTTGGAAAGACATTCTCCGATTCGCTCTCATTCATCAAGGATTCATCTGCCTCAGCCATCTCGACTTTCAATCCATCAAAGCCCAGCGAAATGGCTCGCGAATTTTGGCGCGAGGTCGTCAACGGAGACAGAGGTTTGGACATGACAATCGTGAATGGGTGTTCGTCAAGTGAAGAGCAAGGGGATTGACATATGAATCGTATGTCTTTAAAAGATTCTTGTAGGCTCTAGAAACATCAACTCAAGGCGAGTGATGATGATATGCACAGCAACGGATAACGTCTGACTCGGGCAATGCAAGACAGTTAGTGATGGGGTTTATTATTATTTTCGGCTCGTTGCCAGGATGATGCTGTAAACAAAGCTATTCCTGATGTGTCCAAAGTCACTAAGCGGTGGAACGTGGCAATTCTGTGATCTGCTCTTACCGCCTTTCGAAGTACAAAAGAAAAGGCCTCTATCAGTGTGGATAAGCCTGCCAAGGACTATGTCCTTGATGCGAATAGAACAGCGGTACGGAGTAGAATGTGTATTTTTCGCTTTGAGATGTGAATCCATCGAAAAACAGAAATCCTTATCTAGTCATCCGTGATACCGTACACCAAAACGCCATGTGGTCGCTAATATGATCGCCTGAAAAAAGCCCTCTAAACCTGGTATCACTTATAAATAACGCTTTTAATCTATGTCCAGAACGAATGACGGCGGGATTGGGACGTATCCACACCGTCTAAATTAGCATCAGTGTCGGTTACTATGATATGGATGGTCTCTTTTTGAGATCGAGACTCCTCTGGGACATAATGGCAGGGCATAGCCGACCGAATCGTGGCGGAGGTATGCTTCTTGCGCTCAATGAAACACAGCTGCACAGCACCCACAACAGCAACCAAAGTGCTTCCCCACCATGCGATAGCAGTGAAATTCATTTCGGCACCGGTGCTGTACAGGAATCCAGCAATAGGGGGAGCAATAGTCCTAGCGACGGCACCAGCAGAAGCAGCTAGACCATTGATCTTTCCCATGACCGATTCCGAAGGGCTTGCCTGCTTAATGAGAATCAGCAGCACAGGGTAGTCGATTATCGAAAGTATGTTGCGAATGATGAGGCATGAATAAATGCCGAAGATGACGGAGTTTTGAGGTAGAAACATGAGGAATGGAACGATGAAGTAGGCGACAGGATGCAACACAGTCACCACCACAAATAGTCTCCAGACCCCCAGTAACTGAGCCAGAACGGGAAAAATGCAACTCTGAATAATGAGCGCGATGATACCATCGGAAGACATAATCAGGCCGACTGTTCGTGTAGAAAGGCCAAGTCCGCCAGGGAAACTAAGCGACGAGTTACTGTGGCCTGAAACGTTCCTGCCATTTTTGTCCTGCAAGAAAATGGGCAAGAGATGATCGTACGTCATTGAGTGATAAGTGAATATGGATAAGGCGATGATGAGCGAGACAACTCGCCATGTGAAAACGGTTTGTTTTTGCGTCTTGAATTTTGAACCATCGGCATTCACAAACCAATCTTCATCTGCCTGCAAGCGAACTTGGTTGAAGGTACCATATGATTCCGCGCGTAGATCTACACCTGCATTGGCTGTCGCTCCTGCAGTGGCCAGAAGAGGACTTTCGGCAGACGTATGATCGACGTCTCCGGAAGCATTCTGACGTTGCAGATCGGGATGGGTCTCGTGCAAGAATAGCCAGCTGCCAACTATGCTGAAAAGGAGCAGGAGGGAGCAGACCAGATTCGGCAACAGGTAGGGAAATCTGCCGAAAAGGCCGTCGGCGGAGAAAAGAGATGGATAGCTTTCGGCGGGCCTGGCAAGCAAACCTCCAATCGCGGGACCGATAATAGTTCCAATTGACCAGACAAATGGCATCACGGCGTAGGCTCGAGCTATAAGAGTCACGGTGAGCTATAGCTCCTCCTCGAATTGTAGGGCATCTTCAAACTTTCACTTACGTTCATGTTCCGGTCGTTTGACTAGTTCCCCAACCATTGTCTGGATGACTCCGATATTCCCGTTTAGAAGACCACCAAGAGCGCGACCTAAGAGCGCCACCCAGAAATTTGGGGCGAATCCCACGAGAAGAAGGGATAGCATGGTGCCGAAGCAACCGGACAGAAGAACCGGTTTGCGACCGATACGGTCCGAAAGGCCTCCCCAGAACATGCCGGTGAGGGCTTCGGCAAGAGAAAAGGCGGAGATGAGGATCCCGGCATAGAAGGAAGCATCTGTGCTATCTGCTACTCGAAAATCCTTGACCATAACCCATGAGTATGGGAATATGGAGGTCAAAGCGATGGGCTCTGCGACACGGCATATTGCTGTGGTACAAGAAGGTAAGTATGTGGTGTGATAGATGGCAGGTGAATTACATACCGAGCAGGAATAGCTGAGTAGTAGGAAATGCATCGTTCGAGGTAGTTTGTCTTTCCTGGCGTGTCAATACCATGATCTCCAGAAAATTCTTAAATTCTTACGGCAAGCCCCCCAACACTATGGCGAGTCTCCCAGGTGATGTTGCTCTTTTTTAATGTCGGAATCTAGAATTCCCAGCCGCAGCAATTATGGTATGCCTTACGGCTTCGCAGTTGTTGATGGGCTGATTTTCCTCGTTTTCGCTCTCTTTGCTTTTTCTTGTAGAGCCGAATCTAGTAAGGCGCCGAAGTTCAGACTTGTGAGATGAGGGAACTATGTGAAAAGAGGATCCTTCATTGAACTTGGGGTGGAGGATGGTCGGAAGAGGAAGAGAAAAAGTTGAAAGCGGGGGATGACGGCAGCCACCCACTGATATGAAGGGGGAAACCTCCGATCGGAGGGGAAAATACTGGAACCACAATCAGGATTCTTGTGCGTGGATTTCATTCCTGTTTCTAGAGATATATTCCGAAGCAGATAAAATAGCTCTTTCAACCACCAATAATGCAGTCTTACAAGGACAAGGGTAAGGCTCTATTGCCCCATAGAACATGTGCGCAGGCTTGCCAGACATCTACATCACCCCTTGATAAAGATACGATGCTAGAGAATGGATTTGCCTTCCTTTTTTGCTCAGTTGAAAATACTTTCCCATGGACCCAGTCAAGCACATCTGCCTCCAAAAACCAGGTTGATCTAGCACAACATGACGACTGCTCAACTGTCTTCTGACCTACGGAGATACCGTATAGAGGTGGCAATCAGCTTTGTCAGCAGATTGTCAACCATGATATGTGGAATTTCAGGTTACATACATGGTGCCAAAAATTGAAGATCCGAAGGCCATATGACAGTTGAGGACTTAATTCTATAGAATAGTAGCAAGATTAACATGAAGTCCACCTCATTACTCCGTAGATTACACCTTATGCAACCTAGCTCGTCGGGGCGTATGTCACCAACCAGCACTAATGTCACACTAGCACCCTTGTGCATTAGTCTACAGCTTATGACAGACCGGCTTTTTGTTAGCGGCTGTTTTTCTAGAGGTTTCTGCTTCAATAGCCAATCAGACTGAACTTGCAGAATGCTCCATGGTACCTCAGGTAGTCTATCATAACCACCTATGTACAGACACCTAGTACTTCACTCACCGCATGTCGCCTTTCTTGAGAGTGAGCTGATATGGAGGAGCTCTAAGGGGCTATCTTTGATGTCCATGAGGGGGTTTCATATGGGAAGCAATCCGTCATGTCGCTATAGCCCAACAGCCCCAGCTGTTGTCTTACATTTTGAGATATAGAGATGTCTACAGTCTGCCTTTCAACCTCTCTCTTCCATGTTTCTTCAGCAATTACAGAGATACACAACTGCTTCATGATAGAGCTTTTAGCTCTATGATTCACATGATCCACAGCAGCTTCAGTCCCAAAAGCTGTTCGAGACGTAATGAAATAGGAAGATCCTGGCTTTATTACTTGAATCCTCCATATGGACTACTGTCATCCGTCTAACTAGCACATACGACCATAGGGTGTGGAGAACAGGGCTTCCCGTCCGCTCAGCCGTACTTAAGCCACACGCCGGCCGGTTAGTAGTTGGGTGGGTGACCACCAGCGAATCCCGGCTGTTGTATGTTTTTACATTTTACTGGCCCTGACTTTCAGTGTGCCATTGCAGTTGAGAGTGACTTAAGATCCCTGAATCCGTGCCTGAAGTGACATATAAGGTAGGCCAAGTCCATCGACTTGAATACGGTATTGAAATTGGCTTAGTACCACTTGTGGCCCGACTCAGCTGCGACCTGACTGGTCGGGAGGGATGCAGGCAGCTCGGCGGGTGTCGACCATTTTCTCCTACCTTCCGATTTTTCCTTCTTCTGCGGTGTCAATATTATTAGCAGCAACTTGGTTACCTCCGACTATTAGAATACTACCATTCAGGGTTCATATTCAGGAAGATAAAGCCGATCTTCATAGTAGCTATGCTAGTGAGAAATTTGTCAGCAGATCCAAATCAATAATAGGTCTTGTAGGTCATATATTTCGTCAGTGAGCACATAAGCAACCCTAAGCCTCTGTAATTGAAGCGCACTGCGCAAGGCGTGAAAGAATGCCGGAATACACCGTAGCAGAATGGATTTTTTTATAGAGGGTATCGCGAAACCAAGCCAAGTAATAAAGTATCAGAACTGATGTATCAATCAACCGACAATCATCCTGGTATGGGTTGCTAACGTTCAGCGTTCTCAGAAACTGGAATGTACGATCGTCTTTCTCTTGCTGCCTGAACATATCAAGTTAGTCCACTTTTCTGAAGAAGCCTCGTCCCTGACCACCCCATACCTCGAGCCACTTTTCTACCCAGGGCTTGCAAGCCGCCCAGGTCAGGAGACCGCTGGTAGCGATGATGAAGATGAAGACTATGGCCTCGTCCTTCCTGGAATCCCTCTCTGATTACCACAAGGTCAGCCGATATCGCTCCAGAAAATATGGGCTAGCCTGTGTCAAGATTACACGGCCACACGGTGGAGGGCTATGCCATACGGAAACAGGTTGTGAAGACATCATCTTCCTTGGCGCCTTTGCACATCGGTAGATTATAATCCAGGCAGAACTTGCGATTGCAATCATTACAGCTCAGAGCGCGATATTTGTTGACTCTTTTCTCGTGAGACGTAGCATTGTCGTCGCGAAGGTCAAAGGAATTAAGAGGCGGTGTCGATTCGGGATTCGGAGAGTCCAGGGGTATAATCGTGCTATTTGTAAAGCACGTACATTTGCAGAATGATGCTGGTGCTAGTCATCAAATAAGGGATTGTCAGTCGACAGCCACGAATGTCAGATAGCGATGTGAGGGTCGAACTCACTGGAAGCTAATGTAAAGGTTGTACAGGACAGAAACGCTAAGACAATGAAGAGGAGATAGAGATTGTTAATCCGGAGTGACATGACGCAAATATAACTTCTGAAAAGGAAGATAAATATCTTCTTCAGTTGAGCAGCGATTATTTCTGTGTAGCACTCATTTCTGGTGTGCCATTACGAAGTACACAGTCACACTGCGATGATAGCTTTCCCGGAGTCTTCGTGTCATGTGACTTATCTTATCTACTCCTCCATGCTTTGAGATCTGTCAGAATATGTACACATCTCGATTATTCTATCCACCTAAATATATGATCGCACATCGTCAGCGCCATAAACCATCTGATCAGGATTTCCCCTTCATTCCCTTTCTGCGGTTCTCCCGTTGTCTTTGTTCCTTGGCAGCATCGCGCCGACGCTTCTTCCAGGCACGGTTATTATCTCCCCGATTCTCCCAAAACCATTTGGTAAATTCAGATTCCTCCTTCGACGCCATCTTAGTCTCAGACCTAGCAATGGGAGTGTCTGTGTATCCCTCAGTCATATCCATGGCATCAGGATCATCGTTCGTCCAATCGAATGTTCGATTGATCAAGGCTGTGTCTGGTGTTGGAGCAGCACTTCTTAATCCCCGACTAAGTAAATCCTTCTTTGTGAAGGGCGTCTGCGGCTCCTTATTCTGCTCTTCCTCTTCTTCAGATTCGATCTCCTCCTGTCCGAAGAAGCTGAATTGGGCGCTAGTTTCTGGGGCGGGTAGGCTATTTGAAGATTCGAGAGCAGGCCGCTTGAAAAGGGCTTCTAAGGGGTGCACATCCTTGGAATCCGTTCCATGAGTCGTTTGCACAGAGGGCGCAGCACCATCAGGTACTAGCTTAGGCACGTCAGCGTTCGCATGTGAAGACATCCCTTCCTTTGCCGGCAATGTATATAATTGTTGCTGTTCGTCTTGGCTGGAAGGCGCTCTTGATTCAGAAGATGCAGATGACATGCTGTCCTCGCTTTCTGAATCCGCGCTGCTGTCATCAGATGACGTCGTCCCACTAGAGGATGTCCAATCCTCTGACTCGTCTGCCGAGTCAATTCCGTCATCCTTGGTTTTCTCAACATCCGTCTTCTGCGCCGTCGGAGGAGCTTTCACCGACTTTCGCTTCTCTTTAGCCCCTGCGACTTGCCCCGGCCGGTATTGGTCTTTCCTCACACGGTCACTAACCGTCTCCTTGAGGTTTCCTGCATTGTCTATCCAACCTTTGCCTTCCTCAAACGTAGATGTAGGTGCTGCTCCATCTCCTTCCGACCGTAAGAAGCTCGGGTGGGTGATAGTTGTGGCGAACTCATGGACAACAGATTCCTGTGAAGATTTCTTTTTCTTCTTGGCTTGCTTTTCCTGCTTCTCATCGGGAGACGCAGATCGGTTCTTGGGTATCTTGGTTCGGAAGAGGCACTCTGACTTCTCAGTATACTTGGATTTTGCTTGGGTCTTTGCCTTTTTTCCATCCTTTCCTTTCTTCATCTTTTCATCCTTACGTCTCTCTTTCTTGGCATTGGTCGACTCCGTCCACCCTCTCTTCACTTGACGGCCGGACGGAAGCTCGTATCCATCGAGAATGTTATCATGGGCCTTGCGTTTTTTGGATCCTTTGTCGGACGGAGGCTTCGTGGTGGACGTAACAGTGTCGGCTTCATCTTCCACTTTCTGTCTTTTCGGTGACCGTGCAGTCTCGACTCTAAACTTTTTTCCTTTCAGAATCGAACCATTAAGTTTTTTTTTGATCTTATCGGCTTCCATCGTCGGTAGTGTCACGTAGCCGTAATTGTTCTCGGGAAATGTGGGAATGCTATGGAAAGAGATATCCGTTGCGGACGGTCGGACTGAAGATGGTAATACAGAGGGCAAGAGATCCGGAGTGAAAGGAGTGATGTGTAGGCGCGTGGTATCTGATGCCGTGGTAGTCATTTGCTGTATCGAGAAAATCCAGTGTT